CCAGTCCAGCTCGTCCCTGCCTCCCTAACCTGTTCTTCCTCCCACCTATCCCCTCCTCCCACCTCAAGCCGCACCTCCGTCTCCTACCGACCAACCTCATCCTGCCTCCCTGACCTGTCTGTCCTCCCTGGACTGACCTATCCCCTTCCTAACTCCCCACCTACACTCACCTTTACTGGCCCCATCCCCGCCTCTTCGAACTGTTTGTTTCCTCTCCACGTATCCTCTCCGCTATCCATCTTCTATCCGCCTCCCACTCTCTCCCTATTTATTTCAGAACGCCCTTCCCCTCCCCCTTTTCTGATGAAGGGTCTAGGCCCGAAACGTCAGCCTCTCTGCTCCTATGATGCTACTTGGCCTGCTGTGTTCATCCAGCCCTGCACCTTGTACCCATTTTATTTACTTGGTGTGTAGTGCAGAACAGCAAGAAATAGGAGTAGGCAGAATCTAGCCTCTTGAGCATGTCCTGCCATTCATATCTTAAAAGATAATCCAGATATCCTCCTCTGTCACAATTCAATTACTGCTTCTCAAGTCTTGCAAAAAATGACTGGTGTACCCACTACTTCATTCAACATATCTAGGTGTTTGCAATTGTAAGTATTAGATTTTCAAATGCGATAGCGATCATAGCTTTATTTGGAACTTATAACAGGCCAAGCAATGTAAATTGTCTTAGCTAAATTGGAGGTGTAGTGGACAGAAAAGAAGGTTACCTCAGAGTATACCAGGACTTTGATCAGATGGGCCGAGGAATGGCAAATGGAGTTTAATTTACACAAATGTGAGGTGCTGCATTTTGGAAAGATAAATCAGGGCCGGACTTATACATTTAACGGTAAGGTCCTGGGGAAAGTTGCTGAACAATGAGACCTTGGAGCGCAGGTTCATAGTTCCTTGAAAGTAAAGTCCCAGGTAGACAGGGTAGTGAAGGCGGTATTTGGTATGTCTGCCTTTAGTGGTCAGTGCATCAAGTAAAGGAGTTGGGAGGTCATGTTTCAGCTGTACAGTGGGTTAGGCCACTTTTGGAATACTGGGTGCAATTCTGGTCTCCCTGTTAGAGGAAGGATGTTGTGAAATTTGAAAGGGTTCAGAAAAGATTTACAAGGATGTTGCCAGGGTTTCAGGGTTTCAGGGTTTCAGGGTTTGAGGGCTTGAGGGCTTGAGGGCTTGAGGGCTTGAGCTGTAGGGAGAGGCTGAATAGACTGGGAGCTATTTTCCCTGGAGCAGAGGCTGAGGAGTTACCTTACAGGAGGTTTACAAAATCAGGAGGAGCCTGGATGGGATGAATAGACAAGGTCTTTTCCCCAATGTGGGGGAGTCCAAAACTAGAGGGCACTGGTTTAAGGTGAGTGGGGAAAGATTTAAGGGAGACCAAAGGGGCAACATTTTCAAAAGAGTCGTGTGTGTATGGAATGAGCTACCAGAGGAAATGGTGGAGGCTGACAAAATTACAACAATTAAATAGGCATTTGGATGGGTATATGAATCGGAAGGGTTTAGAAAGATATGGGCCAAATGCTGGCAAATGAAACTAAATTCAGATATCTGGTCAACATTGATAATTTGGACCAAAGAGTGTTTCCATGTTGCACAGTTATATGACTATATTATTTTCAATTTTATTGAGCTGACAGGTTCTATTACATGCAAATCAAACAGTTTAAAAGTGTGACTTCCACCAAGTTGTTCAAATCAACATACAACAAACTCATTCTTACATGCAGAGCGGTTGAACAAAGCATGCTTATGCTGCATCACATTGTATTTATGATCAATTTCACAGTTAGCACCAGACTCTAGAACACCTACAAGCATGACTGCCAGTTCAGGAATCACTTACTTAAGAAACAGGAACAAATACAGGCCATTTGGACTCTTGATCCTGTTCTGCCAACCAATGAGATCATGAATTAACTGTTTTTGGCCATTACTCCACATTTTTGCCTGCCCCATAAACCTCAGACTTCCTTGTCCGTCAATCGAACTCAATCTTGAACACATTTAATAGCCCAATAACAAACAATGTTGGTGAATCTGAGCAAACCTGGCAGCATGTGTGAAGAAACAAATTTAACACAGCAAGTCCAGGAAGACACTTCAAAACACAGCCACACTGGTTTCTTTGTCCTGATGCCTTTTAAATGTTGTAATTGTACCCGCCTCCACCACTTCCTCTGGCAGCTCATTCCACACATGCACCACACTCACGTGAAAAAGTTACACCTCAAGTCCTTTTTAAATCTTTCCCCTCTCGCCTTAAACCTATGCCCTATAGTTTTGAACTCCCCTACCCTGGGAAAAAGACTTTGGCTAATCACACTATCCATGTCCCTCGTGATTTTATAAATTTCTATGGAGGTCAACCAACAGCCTCTGACGCTCCAGGGAAAATAGCACCAAGCTATTCAGCCTCTCTCTATAACTTGAACTCATCAGTCCTGGCAATATCCTTGTAAATCTTTTCTGCAACCTCTCAAGTTTAACAACCATCTTCTTATAGAAGGGTGACCAGAATTGTACGCAGTTTTGTAAAAGTGGTCTCGACAATGCTCTGTACAGCTGTAACATGACATCCCAACTCCTATACTCAATGTTTTGATCAATGAAGGCAAGAGCGGCAAACACCTTCTTCACTGTCCTGTCAACCTGCAACTCCACTTTCAAGGAAGTATGCATCTGAAACCCTAGGTTGCTGTTCAGCAACGTTCCTCAGGGCCCTATACAAGTTCTGCCCTGATTTGCCTTAGCAAAATGCAAAATCTCACATTTTTTCTAAATTAAACTCTACCTGCCACTATCCGCTGTTTGTTCCATCCTCCAAAATTTCAACTTGTAAAACAGGATTTCACTTTCATAAAAGTACAACTCATGCTGATTGTATTATGACTTTCTAAAACATCTCACTACTACTATAAACTATGAATTCCAGCATTTCCCCGACACTGGATAATAGTTTAGATGGCAATTTCCCGTTTTCTTCCTCCCACCTTTCTTGAATAGTTGGGTCACATTTGTAGATTTCTAATATACTGAGACTCATCCAGAACTTCCTAGCCACTATCAGTTCTGAAGAAGGGTCACACTAACAGTACAGTGGCTCGGTGGTTGGCACTGTTGCCTCACAGATTCAGAGCCTTGGGTACAATTCCAGCCTTAGGTGACTGCACGTTCTCCCGGTGTATGCGTGGGATTCCTCTGGGTGCTCCGGTTTCTTTCGGCAGACCAAAAGTGTACAGATTAGGTGGATTAGCAATGTTAAATTGCCGATAGCGTCCAGAGATGAGAGTGTTACGTGGATTAGCCATGAGAAATATGGGGATAGGATAGATGGATGGGATGCTCTTTGGAGCGTCAGTGCAGACTCTATGGGCCGAACGGCCTGCTTCCACACTGAAGGGAAATATGAACTCTGCCATTTCTTCATAGATACTGCCACACCTGACTTTATTCAGCAATTCCTGTTTTCGTTTAACTCAAATCTACACGCACATACAGGCTATCAGAAGGACACACCTCAGGACGTCAGAGGAAGAAAAAGCACCGCCCACCAAGTTATATTTAGGCATACAATAGTTCCGTATAATCAAAAGGTTTCTGACTTTAAATTCCAAATCTGGGAGTCATCCTAAATCGACAGGCATACATTTGAACTTATTCAGTTCAAAAACCAACTGTGGAATCGATTACAAATTAGAGAAATCGCGTCAAATGTGGTCTTGAGCTGCACACAAGTAGAACCGAAGCAATTTCACTACGATGCGAGCGGCGCAACTAAGCAGGTATTTCAAGGCGTACCTCGAATACAAATTGGGGCTTTTAATGCTGTTGTTATCTGCAGTCTTAACAATTCCAGTCGATCTCAAAAGTCTGCTTAACTTGCCAATTAATATTTCCAGAGAAGTGAAGAGTTTCACTTACTTTCAATATTGAGTGGACTTCTGGAATTACCACTGAAACAGTTTACTGAACAGGGATTGGAAAGGTAAAAGAAAAACGGATTGAAAGTAGATTTCATACTGTCCTCCCTCTATAATTGGGCCATTTGTAACGGTGGTCATCAGAATGAGGTTGGAATCCGATTTTGCCCTGGGTCAGAAGTCAAGTGCGCTGGGAAGTGATAATCTGTTCGTACAATTGTCCAATGAAAAATCAGTATTTGAATAAGCAAAACATTTTATAGTATAAAAGCCAGAAACATGCGTCTTTTTGCCTCAAGACTGCTGATCTGCTATAAGATTCTCCCCCCCAAACTTGTTTCTGTTAAGATTTGCAGGATATGCTTCTGAGAAGTTTCAGGCAGTGACAGCATCCCACTGCAGTGCAGTAGCAGTGCCCGCGTGCCTCACCTTACCTGGGTCCAGGTTCCCCAATGTTCTATCGGTACCAGCCCGACCAGCCGCTCCGTCTGCGCAGGCGCAGCTCTGCCTTCCAACCTGCGGCTGTAGAACTACTGTTCCCAGAAGGCTGTGCTGTTTAGACAGCTAGCAACAAATCATCACTTTTTCTTTAAATAAAAGGTCGCAGCCGGCGGTTCAACCTTACCTTCAACAAAAAGCAAGAAAAAAAATTTCCCCGCCACTGTTCCGGTCAATCACAACTTCGTTCCCCCTCCTCCCAACTCCGGCAAACGTTTTCCGCTGAAGCCAGCTTCCGGGAGGAGACTAGTCATCACGTGTGGGGACCAGACCGGGTTCCTTTGTGGTGAGCGCGGCGGTGTCACGTGATGTCTGTCAGCGCTCAGCCCGGTGAGTCACAGAATGGTGACGGCACAAAGGCAATTCAGCCCGCACTGTTCAAGCTTCTCTCAGATCCTGTAACCTTTTTTCTCTCACAGTTCCCGTTCTCTTCAGAGAGCAGATTGAATCTGTCTCTAACACATTCTCAGGCGGTGCCTTCCATGTGTCAACTGTTTAGGTTTTGCTCGTGTTGTTGGTTTTCTTGGCCAACCACGACTGCTCCTCGACCTTCCATCACAAGTGAAGAGTTACTCCCTACCTGCTCTCTCCAGATCCTTCATTATTTTCAACATCCGTATTAAACCTCTGTTCAACCTATTCTTAGAAGAATGGACCCAACATCTCAGGACTATCCATGTAGCTTAAGTTGCTTATCCCCGGAACCATTCTTGTCAATTGTTGTGCAGAAGATCAAGTGAGCAAGTTATGAGGTGATTTGCTCCTACAAGTTTTGAGCAATTAGTGTATTTACTTCTTCTCTGAGGCTAGTTAAGATTTGAAATTTTCGATAGTAGACGCTCGGTCATTCGGTATATTCAAGGCTGAATTAGATTGATTTTTGATCTTTTTAAGAATCAAGGGTTGGGGAGTGGGGCAGCAAGCAAGAAACGGGAGTTCCTTGAACCTCAATTTGAAAAACTTATCTTATTGAATGGTAGGACATTCTCAAAGGGCCAGATGCCTACAACTCCTCCTATCTTTTATATTATCCACTAAGCAATGTAAATAAGAGATCATTTGGTATTATACTCTATTACCTTTGTAGACTTTTGCAGTATCCACTGTGTGTGGTCTTGGGATATCCTTGGGTTATGAAATGCATTATAGATATTTAAATCCTTATTTACTGTTGTGCATGGATGATAACTGATTGATTGGATAAGAATGTGGCAAGCTCCAGCCATTTGAGATAACCTACACGGATTTAAACAACAACAAAGATAACTTGCATTCATATTGTCAATGACCAAAATTTGCACCGTTGGTATAAAACCTCCCAGGATGCTTCACAGGATTACTGCCAGCCAAAAGTTTATGCTGAACTACATCAAGAGATATAAGGACAGATGATGAAAAGATTGGCCAAAGGGATCGGTTTTACAGTATAAATTAAGGATATTAAAAAGTAACAAATTAAAAATTAAAAAATTGAGTACTGATTTAAGGAAGGTGGAGAGATTTAGGAAGACAGACACTAAAGCTTCTAAAGGTGCTTCAGTTAAGAGATAATATATTACTTTACGTTACAGCAGTGACTATACTAAACTTTAAAGGTACTTTATTAAGTGTAAAGTAATTTGGGACTTAGAGGTAAAAAGAGGTGCTATACAAATGCAGGCCTTTTTTCTAAAATGAAGTGTAATATTATAGCAGTTATTGTATGAGTAACTTATGTAAATTTGAAAATTAGAATCAAATCATTTTGGAATATAAAACTGTGAAAGTGACTGTGAAATTGTTGATCACTGTAAAACCCCCAACTAGCTCATGAATGTCCTTTGGAAAAGAAGCAAAACCTCTTTTAAAAACCAAAAGAACTGCAGATGCTGTAAATCAGGAATAAAAACGGAAGTTGCTGGAAAAGCTCAGCAGGTCTGGCAGCATCTGTGAAGAAAAAAATCAGAGTTAACATTTCAGGTCTGGTGACCCGTCCTCCTTACCCTGTCTGTCTGTACATGATGTGTCTTCAGTCCTATGCCAACTTAGTTAACTGCACATTCTGATTCACTTAATTTGACCAGTTTGTATTGCCGAGCCCCATTTATTGACGTGTATTCAAAACAAATAGTTGCAACAAGCCCCGGCACAAGGATAAGTCTTGACACTATGCGCATCCATCTCATCACCATCATGGAATAGTTTAGGTTAGATGGGCTTCAGATTGGTTTCACAGGTCGGCGCAACATCGAGGGCCGAAGGGCCTGTACTGCCCTGTAATGTTGTATGTTCTATGTTCTATCTCCTTCCCCAATGCAACTCCAACAACAAGTACATATGTTTTTAATCTGTCCCCTAAATGCCCACAAATTTCATCTTCGATAAAATCTTTAATGTAAAAATTGTTTAAGGCCTTCTAGAAGTCAAGATACAACACCTTCTGTCATCTCTCACTTCCTCAAGTACTGTGGGTAGAGTCTTCCTTCTCTGATTTCATGTTGACTGTTTTTTTGCATCAGCGTGCAGCTGAACCTGACTCATACTGGTGAATACAGTTTGTATGGGGAAGCACATGAACAAGGAAAATGAAGGCCTATAATTGAAACCTTGAGGGTCTCCAGAAATTACCAGGGTAGAAAGAAACCATTGGTGATTTTAAGACAGCAATGTGATCTTTTAAAAAAAAAATTATAAATTAAATTATTTCAGGAAATGGTTTAAGTTTGGCTTAGGTGGGTTAGACACAGGAAATTAGGGGAATGGGTCTGGGTGGGATGATCTTCGGGGAGTGGTGTGGACTTGTTGGGCCGAATGGCCTGTTTCCAAACTATAGGGATTCTAAGTTCTAAATAGAGGTTTGTCTGTGATATTTTGATCAAGTAGCCTACTAATTGATGCTACTTAGGCAGTTTAGATGCTTTTGCAATCTCCATGATATGGTCAAAGTATTTTGCGTAAACCAGTCAAGGGGGAGGTACATGTGAATGGTGGTAACCAAATTAACTATGAACTTTGATAGTTGTCTGTAGCAACACCTCATTGATTTTCAGCCATCTTGTATCAGATTAAAAGGAAATCTGATGATTAGTTACCAATGCTAGCAGCCTGGAGCTCGGTGACCAGTGGTGTTCCGCAGGGATCTGTTCTGGGGCCTCTGCTCTTTGTGATCTTTAAAAATGACTTGGATGAGGAAGTGGAGGGGTGGGTTAGTAAGTTTGCCAATGACACGAAGGTTGGTGGAGTTGTGGACAGTGTGGAGGGCTGTTGTAGGTTGCAGTGGAACATTGACAGGATGCAGACCTGGGCAAAGAAGTGGCAGATGGAATTCAACGCAGAAAAGTGTGAAGTGCTTCATTTTGGAAGGTCGAATTTGAATGCAGAATACAGGGTTAATGGCAGGATTCTCGGCAGTGTGGAGGAACAGAGGGATCTTGGGGTTCACATCCATAGATCTTTCAAAGTTGCTACCCAAGTTGATAGTGTTGTAAAGAAGGCGTATGGTATGTTGGCTTTCATTAACAGAGGAATCGAATTTAAGACCTGAGAGGTTATTCTGCAGCTCTATAAAACTCTGGTTAGACCACACTTGGAATATCATGTTCAGTTCTGGTCACCTCATTATAGGAAAGATGTGGAAGCTTAAGAGAGGGTGCAGAGGAAATTTACCAGGATGCTGTCTGGACTAGAGGGCAGGTCTTATGAGGAAAGGTTGAGGGATCTAAGGCTTTTTTCATTTGAACGAAGAAGGATGAGAGGTGACTTGATAGAGATGTATAAGATGATGAGAGGCATAGATAGAGTGGATAGTCAGAGACTTTTTCCCAGGGCGGAAATGACTATTATGAGGGGGCATAATTTTAAGATGATTGGAGGAAGGTATAGGGGAGATGTCAGAGGTAAGTTCTTTACACAGAGAGTGGTGGGCTTGTGGAATGCGCTGCCGGCAGTGGTAGTGGAGTCAGATACTTCAGAGACTTTTAAGCGATTCTTGGATAGGCACATGGAGGATAGTAAAATGTAGGGTACGCAGGGTAGTTTGATCTTAGTAGGATAATAGATCGGCACAGCATCATGGGCCGAAGGGCCAGTACTGTGCTGTACTGTTCTATGTTCTATAATTTGTAGTCAGCTGGCATCATTGCTGCCATTGGAGATGCTAAAACCATGATGGATTGCATTGAATTTTTTTATTCATTCACAAGATGAGGCTGCCATTAATTGCCCTTCCCTAAGTTGAGTCAAACACATTGCTGTGGGTTTGGAGCCACATGTAGGCCAGATCATGTATGGATGGTAGTTTCCTTTCCCAAAGAACATTAGTGAACATAAGAACATAAGAACTAGGAGCAGGAGTAGGCCATCTGGCCCCTCGAGCTTGTCCCACCATTTAACAAGATCATGGCTGATCTTTTTGAGACTCAGCTGTACTTACCTGCCCACTCACCATAACCCTTAATTCCTTTACTGTTGAAAAATTTTTATCTAGCCTCGCCTTAAAATCATTCAGTGATGTAACTTCAACCGCTTCACTGGGCCGGGAATTCCACAGATTCACAACCCTTTGGGTGAAGAAGTTCCTCCTGACCTCAGTCCTACATCTGCTTCCCTTTATTTTGAGGCTATGCCCCCTAGTCCTAGTTTCACCTGCTAATGGAAACAACCTCCCTGCCTCCACCTTATCTATTCCCTTCATAATCTTATATGTTTCTATAAGATCTCCCCTCATTTTTCTGAATTCCAATGAGTATAATGCCAGCCTACTCAGTCTCTCCTCATAATCCAACCCTCTCAACTCTGGTGAATCTCCTCTGTACCCCCTCCAGTGCTACTATATCCCTTCTCAAGTAAGGAGACCAAAACTGCACACAGTACTCCAGGTGTGGCCTCACCAGGACTCTATACAGCTGCAGCATAGCCTCCCTGTTTTTAAACTGCATCCCTTGAGCAATGGCAGACAAAATTCCATTTGCCTTTTTAATTACCTGCTGCACCTGCAATCCCACCTTCAGCGATTCATGCACAAGGACACCCAAGTCCCTCTGCACAGCAGCATGCTGCAATTTTTTACCATTTAAAACATAGTCCATTTTGTTGTTATTCCTACCAAAATGATGACCTCACACTTATCAACATTGTAGTCCATCTGCCAGACCTTTGCCCACTCACTTAGACTATTTATATCCCTCTGCAGACTTTCAGTGTCTTCTGCACACTTTGCTGTACCACTCATCTTAGTATCATCTGCAAATTTTGACACACCACACTTAG